AAAGTAAAATTTTTAATTTGTACAGGTGGCATCCACATAATTTCCACCTCATTTATAATATTATTTGTATAAAAAATATTCAAATGATTCTGTTAGTTAACCTGCCACATCAGCAAAAATTTAACGGAGGGACTAAAAAGGGGCCGGATTTGTGAACAGTAAGAACCAAAAAAGGGATTTTCTCGGTACAGGGACTAAAAATGGGCTTTTTCCTATAGTAGAGGGACCAAAAAGGGTATTTAACCATGATTTATTTGTTACTTAAGGCTCTTTTTAATAAAAAGTTACCATATAATAACATTAAATGTTAAATAATAAGTCCTTATTCTCTGTTTTTTTTTTAGGGCAAGCTCTGTCTCTCTTCTCTTATTGGTTGTGGATTTAAGGAATTGGTCATTATTTTTCGTTTTGTAAGAAAACGGAGAAATTTATTTTTGTTTTAATTATAAATATCAGATATAAATCACAATAATTATTTCTTTTCTCGTACTCTATATAAACAATGCAATTTTCTTTGCGACTTAATTTTGGCAAATTTTAACATCGTTTTGCTAACCAGACAGTAAAAATTACTTTTCACAAAAAAATTTCTGGAATATTTCAAATAAAGAGAATAATTTCTTTTAAAAAAATAATTTTTCATAGAAAAATATATTCCAACATGTAGTTATTTTCCACCAACCAATTGCACTCTCGTATTTTGTTTTCTACGTTGTTTAATTGCAATATCACTCCGTCACTTTCATCTTTAATTCGTTGAAAAGAAAAGTTAAAGCGAAGGTAAACTCCTGACTAGGTTTAACACAAATCTCCTCAATTAGTTTAATTTATTTTTTTATAAATCTTAATTATGATCTGCTTAGTACTACCTCAAGTCTAATTTAATTGTCACCTAACCTATTTTTAGGACATTTTTTATAATAGTATAAATTGAATTTTTTAAAATTTCACTGTATATAAAAAATATAATTACTATTTATATAACATATATAAAAAAATACCCACAACTACGTGCAATGACGGCTATAGATTCTGGAGGAAGTATAATACTCCAATTCAATGAAGTCCCATCAGGCACTTCTACATCAGTCTGTTGGTGCAATTAATACCTTAATTAGTACTAAAATATAAACTATTTTACAGTTATGGTGTCGTTGACATAATTGCCCAAGGAATTTTAACCTGTTAAATCTCTCTAAGGATCCCTATACTGATTATTGACGGGATGAGAATGGGGAGGGATCCTATCCCATGGGGATGCGTTTCCGTCCCTAGCTTAGAATTTTAATAATAATTGTTCTCCAAGACTTCAGTTGTTTTTGTTGGAGTTTTTGTTTTACGAAGAAAAGCGTAGAGAAGAGACTTGCAGGACAGGAAGAGACACCCAGGGTTCCGTCTTTTGGTGAGCTGAAAACCCTTTTTTCTTCATTGATGGAGTTCCTTATTTTGGTGAGCTGCAACTCAATTTCTTCATTCATCTTCTGCTCTCTCTTTATCTATCAATTTTCCTAAATATTTGCCTCAATATTTTTCTGAATTTTTCGTTCCTTTCTCCATTCTCTTTTGGGCGGAGCCCTCTTTTATACAAAAAGGGAAATAGAAACCCAAACCGTTCATGCCAATCTCAAACCATAATCTTCAATCACAAAATACAGATAAAACCCAATTCAAATTGAATAAGAAACCTAAAGTACAATTCACTCTCTGCATCCTTCCACTTTAAAGGCCAAGTCATACCTCTGTGGATTAGGGCTTCTAACTCCAAATCGATTTTGGACTTCTTTTCTTGCGGATCTCCTCTGATTCCTTCAATTGGTTGGCCCTAGATCCAAAAATCTCTTCAGTAAATTTGTCTTTTAATCGAACTCAAGTTGATGAAGAAATTTTGGGAGAGAAGGTGCGGCAGAGCAAAAGATCTGTAATGAACCCTGGCGTCCCATTTTTGACGAATAAAAACGACGTCGTTGCATGGATTCTTTCCTTTAACCTCGTCTTCCGTGCATGCATCAACTTAGTCCCCTAACGTCTTATTTCATCAATCTGGTCCTCTAACTCACAATTTCAAAGTCTTAGTTCTTTGCAACCAAGTCCAATTTATTTTATTTCTCTTACATGATTAGTTTTTAATTTTATCATTGAATCTTTAAAATTAAAATTATAAAAAAAAATTAATTTTGCTTAAAGCATTAGAAAAGATTTTCAAAAAAATACTTATGAAAATTGAGTTATGACAACAATATCCTAGAGCCTACAGGATGGCTGTGGAGAGACATGTCGAAGTTTTTTTTTAATATTTTTTTAGTCGGAAGTTTTTTAATTTGTTTTATGTATGATGAAACAGCCTAAGGTGGAAATGGCTTCTTCCAGCGCGGGTATGGAACATCCTAACATGAAAAGTGATTCAGGGGATGCTTTAGTTGTCGAGCTTCAAGAAGTACCCGTCCATAGTCCGAAAGGTCCGAAAACGGGTTTTATTTAATTTACAGTTTATTTATCATCTCCCCTAAGCAATAATTATTGGATAATAATTAATTAGTATATTATTTTTGGCTGAACCCAAGTAGACATCACAAAAAATAAGCAGAGACAAATCCTTATTAAAAAAACAGAAATAAATTGTTCTTTAAATTATCAATTAAGATAAATAACTTATTACTTAATATGTAATGATTAATTTGTATTTAACTCTGTTTTTAATAAAATTTACCTTATAATGACATTAAATGTTAAATAATAAATCCTTACTCTTTCTGATTTTTCGGACGAGTTCGAGTTCTATCTCTCTTCTCTTATTGGTTGTGGATTTAAGGAATTGATCATTATTTTTTGTTTTGTTGGAAAAAGGAGAAATTTATTTTTATTTTTATTATAAATATCAAATATAAATCATAATAATTATTTCTTATTTCATACTCTATATAAACAATTCAATTTCCTTTGCCACTCCATTTCGGCAAATTTTAACATCGTGTTGCTAACCAAACAGTAAAAATTATTTTTCATTAAAAAATTTCTAGAATATTTCAAATAAAGAGAATAATTTCTTTTAAAAAAATAATTTTTCA